TGAAAGGATGCGCCATGAAATAAAGTGGTCGACGTTACTTTCTTTAAGGGTCCAGATTTGTTTGCTGACTCAGTTGAGTTTCTGTGTTTCATGTGTTGGAATGATGCGATGTGGTTTCAGTATCTGGTTTTAAAGTCGTTTCCTGTGAGTCCAATGTATGTTTCAGCAGTGCTGTTGTCTTTACGTGTGACAGTGGCTTGGTAGATTATTGATGTCTGGAGGCAGTGGATGAGTGGTCTTTTGTCGGCAGTTGCAAGTTTTGTTGTCTTTTGTGTCGGTGCCATCTGCGGTGTCATCGATGTGTTTGGATAAATTTAAAACGCATTTGTTGTGCCGATGATCGATGGTCTGTTTAGTGTTGTTCATGCAGCTGTAACTGATCTTGATTGTATTTCGATTGAAAATTTTTTTTAAGGCTAAGGTCTTTAGAGAAGTGCTTGTCTACTAGGGCAAGGAATCTGTGTCCGATGCTGGTGCTCACGTTTTTTCTGAATGAGGGGTTATACCAGAGTATGTTGTTCCGTTGTCTGTTTTTTCGTTTGTTAGTCTTAGGTGGTTTGTAGTGTAGGGTGTACCGGTATCCGCGTTCTTCGAGTGCTTTTTGGTATGGAGGGGCGGCTTGGTCGAAGGATGCTTTGTCGGATAAAAGGGACGACAGTCGTTTGTTGATCAGTGCCGGCGGGTATGTTCTTTGTGGTGATTGGTGGGTGTTTGCTCTCGCGGTGGACGTATTGTGGTGTCATTTTAGGCTTTGTGAGGGACTGGTAGGTGTTTTTGTTCAGCTTAAAAGTGACGTCTAGGAAGTTGATGGTCTGTTTGTTGGCTTCGATGGTGATCCGTAGCCCATTGTGGTTGAAGATGCGGCATATTTCCTGTTTGATGTTTTCACTTTCCCTTGGCGAAGCGTTGGAAATGGCCAGTCCGTCGTCTCGGTAAAGTCTCATGTTAATGTTAGGGTTTCGCAGGTGGGAAAGAAGGAAAATTCCCACTAACTCGCATGTTTCAGGGCCGTCGAAGCTGCCCATTGTGACGTTGAATGTTGTGTCGCCCTTCTTTTGCCAAGGTTGTTGTTTATGCATAAGGATCGAGTATTTTGTGTGGATCATAATATTTCTTTCAACGTCGGTGATGTTGTCGTAGGCTGAGGCTAACTCAGACTTCTCTCTTCGCGAGAGGACATCGTTAATTTCGGCTTTGCCGAAATTGAATCACGGTATATAAAAGAAGTCGACATGGAGTAAGGCTAAGGCTAAGTTGAGTGCTCTGTTTAGGAGCTTAGGCGATTTCAAAGCAAATAAAACTGTGGTGTTGTTGTTTTTTTTAATGTCTTTGAAACACTCGATCACGGATTCCGTGTTTTTCCATAGGTGGAATTTAGATGCTCTCGTGATTTTGTTGTTGATTCTGTCGAGGATTGTTTTGCCCATTCTGCCTAACTCAGATTTGTTGGGGTTGCTTAGTCGGCAGGTAGATTTGTTAGCGAAGTTCGGTTTGTGGTCAGTTCAGTGTTATGAGTACGCCTTTGTTAGCTGTGGTGTCCACCCTGTCATCGATGCCCAGTTTCGTAGCGATGTTTTTGTTTTCTGAATGGATGGCCCTCGTAGTGTTAGGTTGGGCTTTTTTGTAGGACTTGGTGATGTTTTGTTCAAGTAGGGTGTTGTCTGTTGACGGTTCTAGTTTGTAAAAGTTAGTTGTTTTGTCAGCGGCGATGAGAAGCTTGGTTTCGTTTTTAATGCGTTCGGTATCGTCAGCTTGTTGAGGAAAGGGTTGTTCACTTGTTTGAATTTCGTCGATTGTATCATCTTAAGCATGTCGTCTTCAAATTCTTTTAGTTCGTCATTCGGAAGAGGGTTCTGGCTAGACTTGAAGCCGTATGTCTTTCGAGGGGTTGATCGTGTCAGGGTTGAGGAAGAAGTAAGTCTACTGTTCTTTCATTAAGAATATGAGTTAGATGTTCCCCACCCCATTTCGATAGGTGCAAATAAGCGTAGTATAAAATGTTTATTTTTATCTCAAGATGAAGTGTTAAAATTTACCTTTACTTACCATGTATTTCGATTCGGTTCTGTTTTTGAAGTAAAGGTTGTTATTTCCCTTTAGTTGATGATAGCTATTGGTGTTGTCTCTTCTCACAAATCGGATTTCTCTGGGAATATTTTCTCCAGAGGCATCAAAAGCGACAGATGACACCTGCGCTGAAGTAAAATGTATGGGATACAGATCTCTCGGAAAGGGCTCTACTATTCCAAGCTTGGCTGCAAAATGAAGACATAAATATTTAGGTATGAAAAGCATGTACCAGATGGGCTTTGTTTGACATAATTCATTTTATGCTTTAACATCATAAACGGTGTGTCATTGCAAAGCTAAATTTAAAGTTAAATGTGAAATGGTAGCGAAGCTGCTGTGAACTATAGAGGGAACCCAAAACTTCATTTTTGGGCGTGAGTAATGTCACGTCGAGTCGCTTGTTTTCAGTAACAGAAAATTTCTCGTTAACCATACTAGGCACTGGCATGGGCCACCAAACCTGCATGTTCTCGCTACTTAAAGTGTGACAGCCAATTTTCATTTTTTTTAAAAACCAAAACGATTTTGACCGAAGTGAAAGTTACAACAAGCTGTCATTTTAATGATTTTCAATTCCCTTGCTTGTCATCTACTTGACTGAACACAATATTATCGGCTTCTAAGCTGTAGTCGATTGTAGTTTCTTCTCAATGATAACATGCTGTCCAAGACATTGAACCTCAAGTTTGATATTACTTAGAGACTGGCCCGAAAATGTTAAATACAATGTTGCGACAAAAACTTGTGGAAATTCTCATACTTCGAGTGTCACATCATTCTTAGATAGAAGCTAAAAGGAGGCTGATATCCCAATTGTCAGGAAAATTATAGTAGATTGATACTTGCCTTGAACCTTTACGGCCAGAGATACAGTCGTGATAATCAGAAAGAGTTTTGCTGTTACAGCCATCATTTTCAGGTGGTCTGTCATCTCCCTCGGTCTTGCTCCTATCCTCTCTTAGGTAAATGACACGCTTACTCTTCTTTGCTTGGTTGCTCTATCTGTCTCGAAATAGAAATAACATGACATTTGCAAGCTTTTGCGTAATGTCATTCGGAAAACGTGATGAAATGACGCCATGCCTGAACTTCAGTATTGTACGTGTTTGAGAGCACGGTAACATTAATAAAGACGTGCCATGGCTCCATGCGCTCATTAATTGTCAAGCGAGGTTTTCAAAAGAGGACAAAAGGAAGTACTGAGCAAAATATTTTATTTTATATTGTGATGGTTATGCAGGTCTATATTTAGAAATATATTTCTATCGAAACATGGGATTATTTCGACAGAAAGGGAATATGTTCTGCCGTTAGGAGCCAAGTTGAGTGATTTGGACGAAATGTTAGTGGTGGGGCAAAACTGTTAAGCTCAGGTGCTAGGGGCGAACTCGCGAAGTTGGCAGGAGGCGAAGCAAAACATGGCAAAAGCAGAGTGAATCGGCGCAAGGACCTAAAACAGGAATTTAAAAGAAAGGGAAAGGCTGAAGGAAGGAGGAAAAGTAAAATATTTTTAAAATGCTTTTCGAAAGTTTTTGACCCATTAGGAATCAGGCCTTGAGAATCATCTGATTGTGTTTAGTCGTCGGGATGGCGAGTCATCTCCACGCACTTTCCTTCCCTCTACAAAATCCTCTTTAGATTCCAGTTCTCTTAAAAACATTACACGGAAAGCCACCTCGAAAATGTACTTCTGCAAAATTCCAAGTTTAGTTTTATTTTGAGCCTTAATCTAAGGCACAGCCGCGTTAACTAGAGCAAAGCTAAATATAAACCGACCAAGGATAAATATTATAGAAAGAAGGACAGAGATAGCTGACTTGTTTTTTGCTGTAGCCTTCATCTCTCTTGTGAGGTGAATCTTAGACGAATCCCCAGCATTTATGTAAACTCAGCTGTCCCCACTAGAATAGACCAGTAGTGTTTTGAACCTGGAGTACAAATATCAAATTCAGAGATGTCGTGTTCTTAGCAATGGTATCTGTTAACCAAAAGATTCCTAATCTTGGAATGAAGAAAAAAGCGACTGTCACTTTCTTAAGAAAAAGAACATCGATGTAAGGAGTTTTTAGAAGTTCACAATTCTGTGGTAAAAATGCTCTGTTTTTGTAATCGTTTATAGCTCATCTTTTGATGTTTGCGTTTCAACTTCCTTCTTCTGCATCTGCGATAACTCCGCTAGTTTAGGAACAATTTCGTTCCAAAATTCCACCTTTCTCGCCCTGTATCTGCGTTTAGTCTGTGGTTTCAAGCCAATAACAAGATATTCCTGATCTTGTTCTGTAAATTTAGGCCAAGTGACTGCTGAGGAACCTGACTCGGGGGGCGTTGGGGACCTACATGGATAGACAAAGATGCGTAGATTATTTGCAAATAGTCATATGGGTACACCATGATTAAAATGAAATAATTACCTAAACGGGATTAAAATTCGAATTTATCCAACCCTTTGCCTGACGGATAGCTTCGAAACCCGCATCAGTCTTAATATCCCTCCACAATGTTGTACTGACGAGATCAAAGACTTCCTTATGAAAGCACGAATGAAAGACACCCTTGATTATCTAAAACTTAATCATGGGGGCATTGCATCTACGGTACAGACTATTTTTACAACTATGCCAGAAGAAAAAATTTGTATACGTATTGACTCAGCGATAAATAGTAGGATTTTCAAACTATTTTTTGAGTTACGGGCTCATAATACAAAAATGAAGATTGTTTTTAAGAGGCTGTAGGAGTGTTTCTTTAGCCATCGTGCAGGTACGAAAAAAATATATCAAAAGTTTGAAAAAATAATAGGTTTTTTCGGTAATAATTTCTATGAGACGAATGAAAACGTTTAAGAAATACGATCCAGTAAAGAATTTGGAGTTTGATATTTGTGGCACCTCTATTTTTCTTGTTGATGTTTACTTACCCATATTTGGCAAAGTCCGTCCACATTTTCATTACGTACAAGCTCAATCCTTTTTCTATGTCAGAAAATCTTGATACCAGCTTATTAATGATTGGCTCGGACAAGCTCTGAAAAGGTGCACCAAACACAAAAGGGACATCCATGCCATGCACAGCTCCAAACCACTCAGGCAAAGGTGAGTGGACTGCCAGGTAATCGAACACGTATACAAATGGCGGCCTTCCTCCCTGATGGCAGAAAATTTAAACTGATTTATTCATCTGTAGGTAGTTTTAGGTCACCAACAACACCACTATCCTCTCCACATAAGTGTTTAATGCGCGACTGGCGCTATGTATCGTAATTCAGGTTTTATATGACAGCCATGTTTTCTACAGTGAGACTTGATTACGAAGCAAATTAAGTGAAAGAGTGCATTGTCAGTAAATGAGGCAGTTTTTAGCTGAAATCAGTTTAATTCAGTAATCTACCCGACTGTGTCGTGCTATCAATGAAGAAGTTTAAAGATACTGCTCGTATAATCTATTGCAAAATATTTACCTTTGCTAAAGCTTTGGCTTCAAGTAAGGCAGGGGCTACAAAATATGCATCACCAATAACATCCACCAATGATTGTCGATGGGCAACCTGGTCCTCTGGGTCAGCATGGTGAATATACTCGTATAAAATAAAGTCCTCTATCAGTTCACTCCTTTCCCGAGCATAAAGTAATCCTTTCGTCACAATATATTTCAAGAGGTCCAGGCTAGTTCCATTTTGGACCTGTTGTGGCAAGAACATTGCCATCATGGCACCTTCGTTGTCAGTGAAACCAGTAATAACGTCAACATCTGAATGAAATTTTCCGGTTTTAAAAAGATTTTCAGGCAGATCTGGCAGAAAGTGGCTATCAACTACAGGACCTAGGATGTCGAGTGGGCCATGATAGTTAGCATGAGAAACTCCTTCCTGTCCTTCGATAATTTCTTTAACTGGTTTGCCTCGTGCACACTCCACCAAGCTTAACCCTAAAGTGGAGGTACAGTTTATAGCCTTTGCAAAGAGTTCCAACTGTTTTGGCTGGGTGACTTTTCCACAAAACAAAGGCGAAGAGGCTGGACCGCTTTGTATGATGACTCTTTGAAAGAGACCTTTGGTTAATGGCGAGATTAAATGGAGGGAGACACTGTTTCCCCCAACACTCTCACCAAATATGGTCACTTTGCCTGGATCGCCGCCAAAACTTGCGATGTTATTTTGAACCCACTTCAACACCAGTACCTGGAAGTAACAAATGAATCAGGATAATATACAATCAACAATTCATTGGCAGGCGATTTATTCAGGTGATTTTCTGCTAAATAAAAATCAACAAGGAAACGCGGGGTCTATTCAGATCCTCTAAGTTGCTTGTCTGCAAACGAGTCCTCAAATGCCTTCCTGCCTACTCTGCAATCAAAATTCTCTGCAGAGTTAGTCTCTTGTTGGGCTTTTACAATCATGAATTAAGGAAGCCCATTACTTGGTTACTTGGGCTCCCGCAAAATATCATAACGAAAATTTCATGCTTTGTTGATCGATTACATGGAAGAAAAGTATATACCTGGTCCAACATCCCATAATTTCCTATGATATCAGTGCCAGGAACGTTGAAAAACCCTAGTATTCCTATCCGGTAATTAAATGACACGAAGATGACGTCATTGAAGGTGGCCAAGACTCCACCAGGGTACGCAGAAGAGGAACCTTGCGAGAATCCACCGCCATAAATAAACACCATCACAGCCGTCTTTTCATCGGGTTTAATTGTGGATGGAACGAAAACATTCAGGAAAAGACAGTCCTCTACGTCACTCCCTTAAACAGTGAAACCAACGAGAATAACAAAATTTTTTGTGTAGATTTAGAGATATGCCTCCCAATACTGACACGGATATTCGACTGTGCTGTATGCTTATGAACGTAAACTCACTCACAACAAAACAAAATATTTAGGTGAGAACGATTTACGCAGTGGCGTGGAAACTTGAGTCGCGTTGAGCAAGTCGGATAGACTAAAACTCAGCAGACCAACATCATTTAATTTGAATATATCAACAAAGTTGAAATGTATATGTGCACGATCCTTCGCAGTAAACCACTATTTAAGCAATAGTGAAAATCAGACCTGAGAAAAGTTCAGGCCCGTACGGGATTCGAACCACTGACCT